TAATTCTCAGAAGTGAAATTAGAGATCACCCACGCATTACACCCAACAATGTTTTAAGGCATTACATCCTGAATCTCTGTAATGAATTAACATTACAATCTGGTTTGAATTTTTCAATTTTCAGCATACATCCTGCTCAGTTAGCAGGTGACCCTGCAGCCCTCCCACCAGCTTCTCTAACAATTTGAATTTGCCATTCTAAAAGGAACACAGATTTGGACATATCTAATCCTTGAGAAAGGAGCATAAATGCCAGGTAGTGACCCATCACACTTTATGGCAGAGCCAGACAGCATGCCCAGGTTCCTAGACTTCTTTGTCTTCTGGATAGATGCGTCATATTATACCACCAACATTCAAGATTTTTCTATAAGAACTAAATCTTCACTTGTTCCATTACAGTCATAGAAATGCTCTTTTTTTTAATTAATAAGGAGATTTCTGAACTGCAGATTGACATAGAAAAGCAATTTCGGTTAGGACTGATTTGTATAGATTTCTCATTAATCTAGGAATCCTAAAAGGTAATGGAGGGAGACAAGAGGGACAATGATAGAAGAACCATGACACAGAAAAAATTTTAAATCATTTAATTCTCCCCAAAGTTAAAGTCGATTATCTCAGGCAAGCAAGTATAAGGGTTCTAGGATTCTGGAGGACAAACCTTCAGATACAAATTTACAGATGAGGAAACAAAGTGATTTATTTAAGGTCATTAATTGATTTGTGATGTGTGAAGATATTTTAGAAAGGAGGCAGAATTTTGGCAAAGTCATTACTCTTTGTTCAGCATTCTTTGGGCTAAGATTGAGGTATCAAGAAGTGTCAAAGAATGTAAAATCAAATCAAATTATTAAGCCCCAGTGCATGCTATTTGTCAGATTTTGTTATAAAATTTAAGGTATTGTGGGAGGAAAAGCCCTTTCTTTTAATCTAGTCAAAATTTATGGAAGTAATTATATATTTTTTTACTTTTGCACAAATAAAATACTCGTGTCAAATAATTTTAGCAATATTATACCTATTCTACTTTGTTCATCTTTAGAAAGTTTGATACCTATGTTAATTCTTAAGTGCATTTTCTCATCTTTTCAATCTACATTGAAAATCCCTTTCTTCTCAAATTATTTTATCTTCCATTTGGAAACCAAGTTCTATATTTTTCTTTGGTCGTGTGTCCTCCAACACAGTATCTAGCACCATTCTAGAAATTTGAAGTGTTTAGTGAATAATTTCTGTGTTCTCTTTTGGTCCAATAATTTCACTTTGAAAGTTCATAAAAGGAACTGATCAGAGAGAGATATTCCCATCAGGTGATCAACAAAGATATCATTGTAAAATCATTTCTGTTGTCAAAAAATTGGGAAAAAACTCAAAATCAAATTGACTATATAAATCATGATTGAGTTATGAATAATATGGCCTACAAACATTTAAAATAATTTTGTGCAGAGATAGTTCATAAATTTTTTCAGTGTACACTTAAGTGCAAAAATAGAATTTTATAAAACAGTATGTGCAAGGATTTAATGTTTCTAGAAATGTATATAAGTGATGTACATTGATAGTTGAACCAATGTATGTGTGAATGGTGAGATCTCTAGTCATTTTAAATCTTGTTAGGGTCTGTCTCTTTCTTTCTTTCTTTCTTCTTCCTTTCTTTCTCTTTTTTCCTACCTTTAATAGGAAACCAAGAGTTTTCCCTAAGGATATGTAGTTAATTCAGAAAATAAGTTTGTACCATGTTAGAGAGGAAGCTTCACTGGCCATCATTTTTGTACTTTCTATTTTGAGTACCTCTATGATGAACTCACAAAGTACATGATAAATATTACCAATAGTCCTCCAGTCTTTCACCTAAGACATAAAATTATGAATAATTCTGACTTATTAATAGAATAGTGTAGTTATTAGTTATGTTATATTTTTTCATAAGACTGTAATAAAATTGGGAGTGCCCAGATGGCTGTCATTTAAGTGTCTGCCTTCAGTTCAGGTCATGATCTCAGGGTCCTGGGATCAGCCCTGCTTCAGGATCCTTGCTTAGCGGAAGTTTGCTTCTCCCTCTCCCTCTACCCTTCCTCCCACCCCCACTCATGCTCTCATGCGTGTGCCTTCTCTCTCTCTCTCTCTCTCTCAAATAAATAAAATATTTAAAACAAACAAACAAAAAATACTGAAATAAAATTAGAACCATGTTCACAAATTTCGTGAGTCGTACACAAACCACCAAATTTTAAGGAGAGTTAACTTTGAAAGTTAAGTAGATCTCATTTTAAATCTGAGTTCTGCCATTTGCTGGCTTAATGGGTTTGTGCAAAATGTAAATGATTGACTTGTGCATTTTAATGAGATTATATATGTAAAGCACCTAGCATAAAGCATTAAATACAGCTAAGAGCTCAATAAAATATAACTTTCACATCATCATCATCATCATTCTCATCATCTATGCTCCTTTTTATTTAGAACAAATCTAATTGGATAAATCTGACATGTAGCATTGTATAAATTTAAGTTTCACAGCATGTTACTTTGATACATTGATATAATAAGGTTGTAACATTATCACATTATATACTTATGGTACAATAGTATTGTCTAAATTCTGTATACTGTACTTTAGATCTCTGTGGCTCAATACTAGTTTCAAGTCTGTACCCTAAAACACAACTAGTTTTATTTCCCAGCCCCCATCTCCTGTTAACCACTGTTTGTTTTTTTTTTAAGCATGTCTGACCTTTTTAGGTTACACATATAAGTGATATGTCTTCCTCTGACTTATCTCACTTAGCATAATATGCTCAAGGTCCATCCATATTGTTGCAAGTGGCAGGATATCCTCCTTTTTCATGGCTGAATAGCTTTCCATTGTGTATATGTCCAGCTTTTTTGTTCATTGACCCATTGATGGGCATTTGTGCTGTTTCTACACATTAGCTATTGTGAATAATGCTTCAATAAACTTGAGAGCACAGAGGTCTCATCAAACTCCTGTTTTCATTTCCTTTGGATATATGGCCAGAATTGGAATTGCTGGATCATATGGCAGATCTATTTTTAACTTTTTGAAGAACCTCCATATGTTTTCCATGGTGGTTGGAACTAATCTACACTCCCACCAGCAGTGGAGAAGCCCTCCCCTTCCACCATCTCATTGCCAGCACCTGTTGTCTCTTATTTTCTTGGTGATAATCTGTGCACCTTTTTAAGTCACTGACAGCACAATATCTTTATGTGCTGGGTTGTCAAGTAGGGCTAGTTCACAAGGCTGGCAGGCAGGCGGGCCTTGGAAAAGTGGAGGTTTGGAGCAAAGACTGAGTGGTGCTACTTGACTCAGAGAAGGACTAGGGCAGCTGGGCCTTCAAAAACCCAACTGTGAAGTAACTGAAACCAAAATGGGAGTTTCGTGAGCACAGTAGCAGATTGGCATTTCTCCACTGACAGGAGTGATCATGAGTTAAAGTGCCCAGCTCCCTAAAAATGCTCAGTGTATTTCCATCGATGATGATTTTTAGTTCCAACAAAGACACAGTATTTGCTATTCAGCCCTCTCTTTGTCTTAACTTTTTTTTCCTAGAAAATAAGGATAATTCAGTTTTTCACATATACCATGGGACATAATCAGTTAATAAATATAAGGCATTCTGATCACATGATGTTATACAGGCAGTAAATAATATTAATAGGCAGAATGTAATTGCCTCACTAGGTATTTTTCCAGAAAGTAGAACTAATACTCATTCCTACCTGATGTGAAAACTCTTCTATGCCCATTAATCATTGCCAGTGGAATGGACTTGGCAAATCTAGAAAGCTGCCAAATGCCAGTATCTACACGATATTTAACATTTTTCACATTAAAATCTTTCGATAGAAATAAACTTCAGACAGAAATAAACTTCCTTCAGTACTTATTGTCTTATATACTCCAAAATTGCAGGCACTCTGATAAATGGAGCATTAGTTTCCAGTGTCACTGGAGCCATGAAATGCATCTTAGAGTCTCCTGCTGCTGTAACTTAATAATTCACATAAGCACTTCTATTTGCAAATCACAGAAGGTTTGTCTGATGGACAGAGTACTGGGGAGAGGTGCGCTCCTTTTGTCAGAATAAATAACCTGGATTTTAGGACTGGTGTCTACTTGTACAATTATTGAAGTCCTAGGCTTGAGATTGTCTATGACATCTGTTAATTTTCAAATGCAAAAAAATCACGTATAGGAAGTATCAGCTTAATAAATAATTTCTTCAGATATTAAGTGATTTTTCTTTTAGTTTGTTTACTAGCAAGTCTAGCACCTAATTTGAGACACACTTCTAAGAGCTGTGCAGAAGAGTATGGCCTTATGTTTTTGAGAGAATTAATAAATAAAATGGCATGATATTATTTCCTAGAGAAGGGAAACAGTCAGTGGCTAGATATTCAGAAAACTTGTTTTTTTAATTACAATTCATTTTTTCCTAGTTAGACACTCAGAGAATCTTTTAGACAAAAGTATGCATAAGGCATACATTGTGACTCTGGGAAGCTCTTGTTCCTATGGGGCAGCTATGGTAAATGGACTGTTTGCTCCTAGTGCCCTAGGAAAGATGAAAACATGGGTCTTTGAGCATATGTAATTCCATCTGTGGTAGTAACATGAGAGAATTTAATGTATTGCTAAATTTAATTCAGAAGCTAAACTAAAATATTTGGCAAATACTGGGGCATCTAGGTGGCTCAGTCTATTGGGCATCCAACTATTGGTTTTGGTTCAGGTTGTGATCTCAGGGTTCTGGGATCCAGCCCCCTGTTGGGCTCTGCAGTCAGCATGGAGTCTACTTGAGGATTCTCTCTCCCTCCCCTTCTGCCCTCACCACCCATGCTCTCTCTCTGTGTCTCTCTCTCCTCCCCCAAATAAGTAGATGAATGAATCTTTAAAATATTTGGCAGATATGTTTTTCATGATACGACCATCACCCTGGTATTCATTACTTTTGCATTTTCTGTTTTAGAGACGCCCAAGCAGATGGCCTGCAATGAAGTTTCGAAGAGGTTCTGGTCATCCTGCCTATGCGGAAGTTGAACCAGTTGGAGAGAAAGAAGGTTTCATTGTATCAGAGCAGTGCTAAAATTTCTAGGACAGAACAGCACCAGTGCTGGCTTACAGGTGTTAAGACTAAAAATTTGCCTATACCTTTAAGACACACACACACACACACACACACACACACACACACACAAAGGATCCCTAAGCTGTTGTAGCCTGAAGGAGATGAGATTTCTGGACAAGCCCAGCCCAGGAAGGGTAAAAGAAAAACTAAAACATATGCAAGGTACCACTGACCATCAAACATAGAATTCCCTAGAGGAATGACATTTTATAGTTCACTCAGAACATCTCCTGTGGACTTAACTAAAGTATGACAATATCACAGTGCTATTGGCTTAGGTGCAGGGTTGCAAAGGGATCGAGAAAAACAATAATAATAAAGCTTTAGTTCCTGAGGGATCTCCACCTTTGGTTCAAATATTCTTCTCTGATGTCTCAAAGATGACTGAGTTCCAAAGCCTGAACCCTTTCTTCCAAAAGAGCAATGATGACTGTTTCAAGATTGCTAAGAAAAACAGCTCATGCAGGAGCAAAAAAACAAATGTTCAATAAGAGATTTTCTATCTTTCCTCCAGATGTGGCAAAAAGGATTTTGTTCTTCTGGTCTAGAACCACTTGTTGCAACAAGTTCATTATTTTACAGAACGAATCTTTTATCTGTGAAGGAGGTTCAAACCATGCCTCCTTTTCCTGTTAATGAGTGTCCCTTCTATGGGTTGTAACAGAATTGCCAAACTCTTAGCTAAGGATGAGGGAGAGAGAGTGGCACCTGAGGGTTTCCCTTCTGCCTCGGGATAAAACACTTCTTTTTTTAAAAAAAAAAGATTTATTGCCTCTGTTTTGCCAGCTATGAAATCCTATGAAGCCACATTTGCTCTTGGCTGAAGGAAACAATACGGAGAGTCCCTAATTGTTTTTGAAGCAAAAACGTTAAGGGATTCTAAACATACGGGGGAGGAGGGGTTCAGGTTATTCTTTCTTTTTACTTTGCGCTACTTCAGTACTTAAGGCCCATGTCATTGTCGATTCCTGTCTCAGAAGCCATTCAAGTCAGCATATCCCTGACAATAGAAAAAGAATGAAAGAACCCTGCTGAATCATACAGTAATTTTCTTTAAAGCACATAGTAGTTACATAAATATATATATAAATATATTTTTGTTTATAACTAACACAAGGCAGGCTCTTGTGACTCAAAGAGTGCATTTGTCATCAGGACAAAACAAATGCGAGATGCATTACTGCATACTTCCATAGAGTTGTAAAATAATCCTTAATATTAGAATATTTTTATGTCACTTAGCAAAAGTGGTTCAATCAGTTGCAGTGCCGATCATTTTCCTGCCTATTTGAGCCACTCTTTCATTTCTCTCAACCCCTTCCATCCCTGGCTAAATAGAGCAGATGCAAAATGCTCCTTACATGGATCTGTCATTTTGCCCAGTAATCACAATCCAGATTTTGAAACCTCTCGGTGAATGGGGAAAGGCCAAGGCATTGCTTGAGGAGGAAAGTGGTTAATACGTATCCCAAGCTCCCAAGGTTTAAATTCAGGTCCTATGTGTACAATGTCATTGACATCTCGACCCACGAAACTGACATCCTGTGCCAAGACGCTGTAGGGTACAGTGTTCAACATTTGCAGATTCAGGTATCGAGAAGCAGAGATGTCTTGTAAGCAGCACTTTACTAACAGCTTAGCATCTGTACCCAGTGTCTCCATTGAACATCAGTCTACTAACAGAGTACCGTATTTTATCTTCACAGTCAGCTGATGTAAACTACTGCTATTTTCCATCACATATATTTTGCTTTACATTTTTAAATACCTGATGAGGTTAGTCATTTCTTCCTAACCTACTTAGTTAATAATTGCAAAAACAAAACAAAAAAAAAAGACAAAAAACAAAAACAAAAAACAAAACCTGACAAACAATTGAAGGATGTGATGACAATCTCTCTGCAGTATCTGCATTCAGTTTGTATGAAATATCCCAACTTATTTCTTGTGGGGTAGGTTTGGTCAGATAGCAATAACCAAATGACTTGCCAACGTAACTGGTGCAACTGGTATTCTACAAAGATATAAGGAACACATAGACGATTCCTTTTAGGATAAGATGACGCTTCTTCCACTAGCTTTTGTGATAGCGATGGCTTCCAATAGCAGTTGATTGACAGTTATAGAAACCTTGTGTATATATCAAACTCCTTACACAATTCTTTGAAGTTGTCCTGTTGTCTTTATTCCCTTTTAGTGCCCATCTTCCACTTTCAATTAAAAGAATTGACAATTCTGGAAAAAAACAAATAAGACATAAAACACTGAATTGTTCAGTGAACTAAAGCAACATATAATAGGGGAAAGTTTTTGGAAGTGTGAGAAAACTTCCTAACAAAAGGAGAAGTTAAAGGTGGTGAGAAGTTTCTGCTGTATATGAATCTTTTAGTGGTAAGGGGAAAGGCTGACTAATCCCTTTTTTTCATGAAATTTTTATTCTATTTTATATTTCTGGTTTGTTCCTGGTGCCCATTAACTGCAAAGGAGGAGCAAACATACACAATGTTTCTAGAAATTCAGAATGGACATTGATGCTTTGGACTTTACATACATCATATATTAGAAGGGGTGCATCTATACATTTCTTAAATACTATGAACATAGTAGAGAGAGGATGACAATTTTAAAAGTTAAGAATAGCAAAGGAACACACACAGACTTCTGAAGAAATCAGATAAATGGTGCTACAGAGAAAATAATATTTGATGATTAGGATGAAGTATGAATGTCAAGAAAAATAAATCCAACCAGATGGCACTAACCACAATGTTGGTGTGTTTATGAAGTGTTTAGACTTTAAGATATACTAACAAACAGAAAACTAAAGATCAATAAAATAAGTACAGTTTGCCCTCATTATTATTTTATTTTCAAATACCTAGGGCTAATCTCTCTCACATGGAGTTTCTAGAGTTGTGCTGTCCAGTATCATATCCACCAGCCAAATGTGGCTATTTAAATTTAAATTAATTAAAAATAAATTTTTAAAAACTCAGTTCTTCAGTCACTAGTCACATTCTGAATGCTCAATAGCCACCTGTGCCTTGTTGACTTCCATACCGGAGAAAACAGAACATTCCCATCATTGCAGAAAATTCTATTATACAGTGCTGTAGAGGTCTTTCCTTTTAATTCTCTCCCTTTGAATAAAAAGGAGGAGGAAGAAAAAGAGAAGATTTGGTCATTCTTGGGTGTATCTGAGTGTTTTTGATCTCAGAGCCACAGCATGCTATAATGGAAAGAATACCAGCTGACACAGCTTTGAGTCTCCACTATGTTATCTTGGGAAAATCACTTTAACTTCCATGAGTCTCAATTTACAATTTTGGAAAATAAAAATATTTTTGTTCTGCTTTCCTTGCAAGGTTGTTATTACGCAGATTGATGCACAGATGTACAGATGTACAGACTTTCAAAACTTACATCAATGTAACTCATATGAAGCACATCCTTGGTTCAGTCTCAGCACAAATTTGCATCCGGAGGAAGAAAAGCATCAATCCTAAAAGCATTCAAAGACAATCAAATCAATACACTTCTTGAGAAAACGCCAAAGGAAATTGCTCAATTTTTCCTCCATCTTAATATTTTCTCTTAGTATTTCCCCTCTGTCACATCTCTCCCAACTTTGACTCCTCTGCCATGAAAGAGGCCCTGTGAGTATCCTGTACCTAGCACAAATCTTTATTCTGTAGAGTCACTTAGCCTCTCTAGTTCCTTGTGATTTCCTAGTTTACTCTTTGTAGCAATGAGAAGCCCAGAAGCTGACCACCAGGCTTTTCTTTAGAAGGAAATACCTCAAATAAATAATTTTAAATAGTTGTTTTATCCCTGTAACACAAATATAAGGGGCCAATGCATTAAAATATAAAAATATGTGGAGCTTAATTGGAACTATAGAAATTAGCAAATGCAAATAAGAGGATTACTATTCTTTTAAATTATACTACTACGCAGATAATATATATTCTGATTAGTATAATTTATTAGTTTCTGAGGCAAAAAATCCTTAATGTTATTACCTTTCGTGAAGAAGTATAAATTTTGTTATGTACTCTTGTGTCTGTTGCCCGTTTGAGAAAATGTTTTGCTAGAATCCATGCCTTGATTCAAGAAACTTTCCTTCCATGATAAGAAATGAGTTTTTAAATAAGACTGAGAAAGAGATCCTATTGTCATGGTTTCTTCCTCCTGTAACATGTTATTTTGCCTTGTATTTCTGCAGGTATTTTTCAGATATTTTATTACAATGAGCTTTACTAATTCCCAAAGATTTCTCTAGCTCTAACTTTCCCATCCTATCCTGTGTTTTGGCATCAGTCCATAGGCCAGAATTACGGCAGGTCATCTAACCCAAGCTTATCATCTTACAGATCAAAAACACTGATGCCCAGAAAGATATGATAATTTTCCCTGTGTCAGAATTGTGTGTTGAACTTAAAACTCCTGACTGGTCATTTCTGTTACCACTTTTCTTGCCTTGGTCAGCAATTAAGGCCAACCAACCAGCTTAGAGGGCTAATTTCATCTGTAGTATTGACTATTCTTATAGAACGTGGACAATCTTCCTCTATCATGTTCATGTATGGTACCATCTTTATAACAACCAGTGACTTCAGGCTCCAGCCATTACAGTGTCTTTATTTGGTTTTGCATGTCCCTCACCCCTCCCTGTGGTCATCTGTCAGCAATACTATTTTTTCTCATTTAAAATTGTTCTACCTTTGTTTCGTTTCTTCCCAAATATATCTGAAAACTAAGACTCTTCATAGCCTGTTTTATTACAACACAATTTTTATTTGCTTTTTAAACTGTTTGAACATTTTTGTCCTAGGAAGGTTTTCTTGAGCAAATATTGTGAGGTCTGTGGCATTACCTATTATATATTCATATTATCTTGTGTTTGTAAAGCACTTTACATTTTGTGGAGCACTTTGACTCATCCCTTTATTTGTTCACTCATCCAGCCACTCAGTTTACTTAAATGTTTATTGAGCACCTACTGGAACCAAATTCCTCTACTGGACCTTGTGATATATAGAGATAAATACAAGTAGTGAGAGTTCAGGCATGTCAACTGATAATTGTAATATGATGGAATCCTCAAACACAATTTTACAAGTGGGTCAGACCAATATAACTCCATCCAATTCCCAATTCCAGTAGTCTACTATATGTAGATAGGGAGGTATCAAGTATGTTCCCGAAGACTGTTTCAGAAATACAGTACATCGTTGCACATTGGTGCTGTTTGCTCTATTTCTAATGATTTGCAAATTTCATTCGTGAGAAGAGTGACTCATCCAAAGTTGTCCCAGACCCAGGAGGACTTCCCAGGTCACTTGAACTTCTTCAGACTAGATGTAACAGTTCTCTTTTCTTGTACCAATATTTTCTGAATTTTCAACATCATAGTTTTAAGGTTTTCTGGAAGCACCAGTGTATCAAAGAAGCATTTGCACTTTAGGTGTGTGTGGTTGTTATGTCACAAGCTTTCTCAATTTCAGGATTAATTCTTTGTGGGAGGGTAAGATGGAAATAGTTCCATGCATTGTAGGGCATATTTGGCAGCTTCCAGGCAGAACAGCTTCTGTTGACTTTATGCCCGTAGCACTCTGTCTCTCTGTCTCTCTTTCTCTCTCTCATACACACATACACACACACACACACACGCACGCACGCACACACATGAACTATGATAACTAAAGATGTCTCCAAACATTGCCAAATGTCCTTGGATTGGGCTTGGTAAAAGTACCAGATAATCTAATGAGCAAAACATATGAGGGAAAAAAAAGAAAGGTTTCTCTTTTTCTTTTTACTTAAACTTTATAATAAATAGGGTTTTTTTTCTATTTCCAATAAGACTTGGAATCATAAACTGTTTGAATTAGAAGGGACTGTAAAAGTTACTAGTTCAGTTACAACCCACCATCATCCTTATCTATTTCCCCATCTCTCAGCTTTACAAATTTATTGAGAGATCAGAAGATTGGTTATCTCTGGAAACTTGGAAACTGACTTTTTCATAGTGAGAGATAAGTCTGTTTGGTAATTATGCCTTGCTGCTATAATAGTACCTGCTGTGATTTTAGCTTCAGTATGGGGACTCTGGGTCATACAACTTCAGTATCCCAATCTCTGCTTTCAGGAGTTTTCTTTTGGTCATTTCACACATCTGTAAATCTTAGTCTTTCATCTTTGCCTTCAAAATATGTATGGAAGTTGAAGCTTGGTACATCTAAATTCAAGTATATCTGGATGAGCTTTTTATTTCTGATACTCTGATATTTCCATTTCTGTATCTGATTTTTTATTATCCTTCTAGAAGAAAAAATTGACTGTCTCAAGTAATTGAAAATTGGAATTTTGAGAGTCAGAATGTTTAAATCTGTCAAGCCAAAGTTCCTACTGATTTGATGTGCCTTAAGTCCGTTTTCCTGTTGGGTCAGTGATTTCCTATGGGTAACCGTGAGTCAAGTCAGTTGTGCTTGTGTCTATCTGCACCAGTTAGAAAACTTGATGGAGTTTTAGCAAAGACAATCCCTCAGGAATATTCCTAGAATAACAACAAGCTCCCAACTAGAATAGCAGGCCTCCCTTGATTCCTTTTCTAACAGACCACCCCAGACTTTGCAAGCATTCTTAATCATTTACTAAAAGTTGCTACTATGACGACACAATTGAAAGCCTTGATTACCCCTTTGTCTAAGGCTATAGAATAATTGATGAGCACGCATAGAGTGAGCTCTCTCAAGACAATCCTAGAAACCAGAAAGCTTCAGCCCAGGAGACCCTTGAGCACACCTCTACCACGATCCTATCAGACAGTTTGATGTTACATAATATTTTGATTAAGCTGATCTTCTAATCTCAGTCGAAATTGGAATGCATCTGCTGATTGTGACCTGACATAACTTTTAAACCATCCACTGCCCATCACTATCACAGTGATTATTGCAAAGAAGTAAAATGGTAATTTTTTTAAGATGGTAATTATTCAAGTAAAATCACATAATTTCTTGAATCACTTCCCCCTGACAAGTTTATGAAGTACATCATCATTGGCTTCTCAGTAGCACATTTATTATGAATGACCAAATTATGTCTAGAGAAATAAGTGCTCAAAACATGTCATTGTAAGTGAATTTCCAGGTGACTGTTGACATTAAAAGATTCTGTTACTTCAAATCCAGAATAAAAGGCTGGGGGGAAAAGTAATGTAAATCATATGCTGGTCCTCGTCTTTTTCTAATTTCTAAAATTTACTAACATCTGAGAATTACTAAAAAAAAATCTCCTAATGGAATAAAGCAAAACAATTTAAGTTGGCAGATAGTGATATATCTATCTTGATTCTGGTTGAAAGTCTCAGTGACTTCTCTAATTCCTACTAGTGTGTTACTTTTAAAAAGAATCTCTCTTTTCCCTAGCATTACAAAAACTATATATTCATGACCAAAATACCACTTAATGATCATGAAGCTATAAACCTTTTGCCTATTACACAGATAAATAGCATGAAACTAATTTTAGAAGTTTGCTATATGAGGACAGGTATAAACATAGGAGCAGGTGGGTGGGTATATTCATGGAAAAAATAAAGATTGATATAGACCATCAAGCAGAATTTTCACCTTCTTCAGAGCAATGTACAGATCGATAGTAGATGAAGATCAGCTCACAATTAGGTCATTCAGACACTCATACACTGGGGCACAAATCCTGCAGGTTATCCTAGGAAGCAGGTGACATACAGAAAGTCACAAATGTCCTCAATCTAACTCAACTATCATCCACCTATACTTCTCCCTATGGCACAATACGAAAGCCATGAAGGCCCCTGCTCTAGGAAATTGGGTTACTTATGGTCAAGTAGGGACCAAAAAGAGGGTTTTCCATTGATCTTCTCTGACCTTCAAGGCAAGTGCTTTGGTTCCCCTGTACCAGAGACCATGAGACAGCCAACCACACACAGGCAATAAAAGTACAATAAAAAGAAAATAATTTTCTTGAGGAAAAGAGAAGAAATGATTCTTTCAACTGCGGACCTGTTGCTGAATCTTTGTGAGGTTTGACCATCTCGGGACCAGATTCATGTACTATTATCAAGACATATGGTCAAGTTCAAGCAACTACTTGTAAGGTGATTTGAATAAAAACATGCTCAGATTGTCATATTTATAGCAGAGAAATAAAAACCCAAATTAAGTGTCCTCCACCAGTTTACTCTGAAAATACCATCAAAGTGAAGTCAGAGCTTTCCTTGCTGAGAACTGTTAAAATCATTTTAGGGAAATGAATTAAGGTTCTTTAGACATAGACATTTTGTGTACATTATAGCTAAACCTCAGGGCCCTAGCTGAGAAGGAGAAAGTCTTTTCATAGGTTGGTCAAAACAAATCTCTCATTTGCCTCATTTGAGACATTTGGACAGTGCCTGGGAAGTACATTATTTTCAAGGGAAAAAAAGACAGCCTTTTTTGCATGCCAGCTGGGATCATGGGAACTTCCAATGCCAGGAATTTACTACTGTTTCTGGTAATTCTGCTTGTAGTCATCTGAAATGTTGAAGTGTGAAAGGAGAAGTTGGGCACCCGGGGGGGCTGTCTGTGTTTTATGCCAGTTGCACCAGTGCACAGAATATTTGTAAATGCACTTCCAAGTGGGTATAATTGTACCCTTTGTCAGAATCACAAAGCTCACTGTGGTGCTCCTGAGAGAGAACATTGGGGGAAAATCTGACCCTCTAAAGCCAGTCAACCCCATACAAAAGGAAAGACTGTGTGGGTGAGCACAGCACATTTGCAAAATTGTTTCTCACTGTTTTTCCAAAGCGCTGTACTCAAATCAAGGATGCGTCTTTCAGGTGAAGGTTAATTTTGCAGAGGTTTTCCAAAACTTCATTTAGAACAGGGTTTGGAAAACTGAGCACTTTAAATTTGCTCCAGTCCTCTGGGCATCATTCCTATTTCCTCTGCCCTGTCAGTGAGACATTCCGAGCTGCATTCTTCCACGATCAAATAACATGCGCATTCTTCATGATGACCTCACGCTTGACGTACCTGAACCTGCAAATGTAAAAAATGATTGTACATGAATTTGCACTAATGGTGTCTGATAGCAGAAAAGGTATGACCTTTATTGAAACCTACTGCTTCAATTCAAGAATTCAGATGCTATGTACTTCTGCAAGCTTCCTGATTATTTTCTCTGTAAGATTAATTATCTGAGTTTGAATCTATTTCCTTAAAGTTCATTAATTTGCCATCTCTTTTACCTGGGGATCGTTATGATTGCAATAATTCATTAAAGTTTTCCTCATGCAGCTACTACTTAAGCCAAGTTTTTCTGCAATTCTGGTTCTGCCTACAGTATGTGGGAAATCTTCAAAAATTTTTTTTCCTAGTAATAATTTTGTAAGAAAGCCGGTTTATCGACTGTGATGGTGGCACAGTTCGTCTTAAGAAGTCTGGAAGCTGGTGGTGACCAAATGTTATCTGTGTTCTCTCTGTTGATTGCTATTTTCAGAATTAAATCCTGTTTTTTCACTTGCAGTTGGAGTCAACAAATTTGGGATTTTAGAAGGGGAAGAAGGGAACAATTTGTGTAATACTGCTGTCATATTTGACTACATATTAAAAACAATAAATGATCATTTTGTTTTAATTTCTTAAATACTTCTATCTTTGTCTTTCAACATATTTTTTGCTTCCTTTCCACTGTTAGTTTTGAAACACTTTACTTATTATGAAAGGAAAGTGTACAGTGTCCAGAACTGAGGGCTAATTAACATGGTAGAAAATCCTTTTGCTTCTAAACCTGCCCTGATACCAACTCGAGTGAGCTATAAAAAAGGAAGGACCTGGAATGCCATAGTGTGCAGCTGGGTGGAGGCTTGCTTCCTGCCCCCACCCCTCAAAGCACAGAGGCCCCTGGTTGAGCCCTAGGTCAGACTGTTGGGACTTAGCTGCCAGTTTAACTCCAAGTACTTGAATAAATCAGGATGCTTCCATTCAGCTCTTGCCTTCATCACTAGCCTTGGTCTGGAAGCTCCAGTGATTTTGTTTTCAAATGAATTACCTAAAGGTTCTCTGTTATCCCATTCCCCTTGTTCCAAACTGGAAATGATTGTACCTCTTTCTCCAGGGGCTTTTGGATGTGTGCCTCAGCTAATTTATGTAGAACATCTAAAGTGAAATGTTCTGAATTCCAAAGATCCTTTCCCTGTTTCCTCATCCACCACTCCTGGATCACCCTTTGCACCATCCCAGGTATGTGCAGGCCTGAGCCTAGGCCCAGGAAGCAGGTGCTGGAAGCTGCCGGGGATTCCAGTTAGTGGCATTTCTCGAGCAATTGCTCTGGGCAATTCAATAAGGATTTTTCTGATCTTACCTCTATATGACTCTTTTGGACTATGTTAATCGAGCTTTGATAAGGTGGGGTAAATTCAAAACTGCAATTTTAAATGGTGTGAATTGTTGTTCTGATACCAAAAGGGAAAAATTATTCATGCAATCTTCCCTAACAATCATAGACAGCATTTATGTGTACCATTTCTTTAAATAAAAAGTGAAAATGTCAAAGAAAAACAATGCTAATGACAATCATACAGCCTTTAAATTAGCTGTAGATGTATACCTCTCATAATTTTGGAGAGCAGGTATTCTTGATTCCAGGGCTACAAAACAAAAAAGACAAAGTCCCTACTCTCAGTAGCCCACAGCCTGGTGGGGGAGACAAACATTTAAACAAATATGGCAAATTAAGTACTATAGGTCCCAGGATAGAACCATTTACATGGTGCAGTGCAGTCCCACAGGAGGGAAGAGTTAATTATGTATGAAAGGAGTCATAGAGCAAGTGATATCTGAACTCGGTTTTCAAAGGGGGGGTACGCCTTCCCCAGGGGACAGCATGGGCATACCAGGGAGATGGTGGCTGTGAGCAAACAGCTGGGCTGAGGCAGAGAGAACTGCTGGAGAGTACGCAGAGGCCAGAGTTAAAGCCCTCGATGACGTCCACAGGACCTCACAGTGTATCTTCAAAGCAATAGGCACACTTGAAACTTTTGAGGCAGAGGAGCCATATAATCCAAACTCTTTTCAAAAGGTCACTCAGCAGGCAAAGTAATGGGAGAATTGCAGGGGAGCAAGCTGAGAGACCATTCTGGAGACAACTGCTCAGGTCTGGTTACTGTTCCATGACTACTTTTCTCTCTTATTTTTCAGATCTTAGCCCCCATGTCTTTGGTCCTCTACTAAAAAAAAACCCAAGCCATCAGCAACTGTGAAATGCCCCTCTCCCCTGTAGCCACCCTTTCCAGCAAATTATTCATTCCCTTTCTGCCAAGGAAATAACACAACACATTCTGACACACGGACCTTCCCCAGGTGCACTCAACTCTTTTGACAAACAAGAACTCCCTTCTTCATCTTCTAAAAGTCCCAGATAACCCAGACAACCAAGACTGTCTGAGGTAGAAGTTTATCTTCCTCGATAATGAGGATAACACAGGAAAATGACAGATTTTGTCCACTTTCTTGTGATCAAGCTAGACTTAATTATTAAGGTATTTGATATTTGAATTTAAAGTGCTGCCCTTGAAATAAATGAGGAAATGATTTTTTTAAATATTATTTATTTATTTGAAAGAGGGAATGGGCAGGGGCAGGGTGGGGACAGGCAGGGAAAGAGGGAGAGAATCTCAAGCAGACTCATAGTTGAGGGCAGAGCTCAACTCCAGGCTTGATCTCATGACCCTGAGATTATGACCTGAGCCAAAAATCAAGAATCAAGCGCTTAACCAACTGAGCCACCCAGGCATCCCCAAATAATTTACTTTTTTAATGTTAACAGTTAACCCATGGAGTTGTCCTTAGCATTAATTTATCAATAAATGCTCGGTCAGGACTATCTACTGTTATCACAAAGCTCAGCAAATCTGAATTACAGAAAGGAATTGGAAAGATCAAATGGTTTCAGAGGCCAGTGGGGATCAGAGGCATGATGAGACTTCCAGCATGGTCACAGTCAAATATCAGTAAAGGGCAGAACTGGATCTCAGATCCAGTGGGGAAGCAATAAAGTCAAGATTCACAGAAACTAAAGACAGAGCCTCCAAGATTTGAAGCAGCCCACAGCAAGACGATTTCAATGCAAACACCTCTGGATAACTTGAGAGTCAATTGAAGTATTTCAGAGCTCTCCAAGGAAGCAGATAAACACACCGGATTTAGTCATCAGGGAAGCTATGAAGATGTCATCATAAAGGAGGCTCTGCATTTAGAGATCCTGGCTTTCCAGCTTACATGCATGCTCATTACGGGAGACTGGAGCTTGGGCCTCAGAGATGAAAGCAATCGGTAGGACAAAAGCCAACAGTTCTCTGAGACTCCTGTATGCTTCCCATGTACAGGTGGCCACATTTCATACATGCACCCTACTACCCTGGGGTGCAGCAAGAAGGGCGGATGAGAGTGCATGATAGAGAAAAGATAGAATTTCTGACTAGAAACTGCTGCCTTACCTGGTTCTGACTTCCCAGATCCAGACATTAAGAAATGTCATCTACACTTCTGCTTCTAAATAAAGTCTAAATGAAGGACAATTATAATTTTTGGAAATTTCAAAAAGTGTATCACTGAGAAAACCAATGAGAATCCCATAGAGTTTGCAAATCCAGGCCTTATAGGAACCACAGCCCCCACCTCCTCATGAGCTTATTTTTTTCCATGAGTTGTTATCACTTTAAAGGCACACGGAAATGTGCTTGGCCTCCCAGAGTAAATACACTTCTCTAAGGCCAGCATCTCTTGATAAATGTTAATTGACCCCTTTTTAATGTGCATTACTCTTAATAGCTGCAACAAACTTTAGTTACAGCCTTTGAACTTCTACCAGATATTGTCCTGACATTTTTCCTGGAGAACTTTACAACCATTTTGGAGCTGCAGAATAACACTGGACTCTTTTTCTCCCCAGATTTCTTTTTTTACAATTGCAATTTAGATTTCCTTCCAAAAGGATTCAATGTGGTGCGAGCCTTGATAGAATGTGAAGCAAATTTCTCCTGCTGCAGCTTGGCTGTAAGCCTAGAGGACAGGATGCATAAATTATTTTAAATGCCATAGAACCTTGCATCTTATTTCTTTCTGGAATGTTTTAAATCTGCATCCTGATGCCTTGAAGTGAGACACTGAGCCAGCAAGAACACATCACCAGCAAGAGAAATGGCTACCTGCAAGAAGTGAAATGTTCCTTTTCTAAAATGGTGTCCTTTGGGATTGAATCAGATGTCATTTTCTTGAGGAAAAGCACGTTATTGGAGCAAAACTAGGTTTCAGTGGGTTAAACAGTAGTAAGGCAAAGAAGCAAGGGAACAAGAGCTTGGATATGGCAGGAGACTCCCCAGTGGATGGTACACAGCAAAGGGGCAGAGAGGATCTGAGAGGTGGGGGAGGGCAGCCATGCGGACTTTCTATTGTTTTAAGTTATGCTCTGATATGAAGCTTTATTGAGGCTCTGGGGTGGGAGTTCACTTACTTCAGACAGATCGCTGCCGTCAGTTTGATTTCCTTGACATAAAACCACAACTGATAACTGACCTGGCAGTCACAGCTCAGAGGCATGGAAACATTCAGTTCCTGCTAAGACAGGAAGGAAGGTCCAGTGGTGATTGCTGTTTGCCCTTCTGATAAATGTCAAACCAGGATCCCCGTATCATCAAGAGCTCACTGAGGAGCTTCTACTCTCCGGTTGACATATGTCAGTTTCTTGAGACAAGTCTTCTCTCTGTGCCAATAATATGAGATATCGGGTCTGCAGATATCCATCCATGTAGCAATGAAGGGGCCAGGCTCTGTGACGTCACCCACCCAACCTCTGAGGGGCCGGGATTTCTTCATCTATAAAGGATTAAAATGGGATTAAAATAGTACTGACTTCCTGTGATTGTTGTAACAAATAAATGCCCTAAAATATTTTGCTTTGTGTTATGCCATTACACTCAATATAATTTAGTTATGTTATTAGTGTTGTTTATGAAAGATGCATTGGGACGCCTGGGTGACTCAGTGGTTGAGCATCTGCCTTTAGCTCAGGTCATGATCCTGAGGTCCTAGGATTGAGTCTCGCATTGGGCTTCTTGCAGGGAGTCTGCTTCACCCTCTGCCTAAGTCTCTGCCTCTCTTTCTGTGTCTCTCATGAATAAGTAAATAAAATCTTAAAAAAAAAAAAAAAACCACACACACATGAAAGATGCATTGATTTTGTCTCAAAAACGCTTAGTCCTTAAGAAGATAAATTTAAGACAAAAAAAAAAAGTAGAGAGGAAGTTACTTGGGAAAAGAGACTGGGAAATAGGCCATTCAAAATAGTAATTGCATAGGAGGAAAGCTACTTGCCTTAGAGTCTTCTTCCTCATTCTCACTGAAAGTCTCATTTGTCCCCATAGGGCAGTCTCATCCGATCCCCGTTCCAAGAGACTTATCAGAGTGAAAAGGAGGGAGCTTGCAATCTGAGTGATGAAAAATAAAATATTAAATAGCAAAATACAATGATAACTCTAGGTGAAAACATTTGATTATAAAATTTTAAAAAGTACCTGCCTTTTTTAAAAAATGTATTCATTTGCTTATTTATAATTTTCCAAAAAAAATCAAGACATC